GTCAGCAAGTCTATGTGCATTCGGGCTCGGAGAAGAAACTGTCTCGTCCGGACGAAGCCCTGCCAGCAACTGTGGTTTGGTTGCCTATACCCCTTCGAGGGGTCTCATCTCGATCCGAGGAAACTGGCCGCTCTTCCCATTAAGGGACACCGTTGTCCCGCATACAAGATGTGTTAGAGATCTGCTTCATCTTCTAAATGCACTTGTGACAGAAGATGAATCACCACAGGGCGATTTGTGGAAGAGTCAAAGGTTTGTTCAACTCCCTGACTGCGCTTCCACTCGGCCAAAAAGCTTTATCGAGCTAGCACACCCCGGTGGCTTGAGAGGACGTCGCCTGGGGATTCCTAAAATGTACATGGGAAATGATCAAGACATGAAAGATCCCATTCTCGTCAGACCTTCTATCGTGGAATTGACGGAACGCGCGCGGGCCGTTCTGACAAGCCTTGGAGCCACCTGTATTGACGTCGAACTTCCCGTAGTTTCTGCATACGAGAAGGATAGACCCAATACCAGGAGTCTGGTAGACAGGGAGATACTTCCACTGGGCTGGAATGAGATTGAAATCAATGACTTGGTATCGACAAGCTGGGACGAATTCCTACGACTGAACGGCGACCCGAACTTCTCATCGATCGGGCACATCAATCCATGGATTATTCATGCCGATCCACCAGAAGCAGTAGACACACGACGATCGTCCGTTGCACATGACGGCCAGGACAAGATTTTATACGACTATATAGTTGATCGAGCGCGTCAGAAAGTAGTACCACAGAGTCCTTTAGAGTTTGAGCAACTTTCAAAAGTCTGTATTGGTCTCGAACGTGCGCGACAAGAGCTTTTCGAACAGTGGCTCACTGACGAGAAACTGGACGGAATAGTATTCCCTGCAAATGCTGATGTTGCTCCATCAAATGCTGACACCGACGAGATTTCTTCGAATCTTGCATGGAGGAATGGCACCGTATTTTCGAACATGAATCATGTTATGCGACACTTGGGCATTCCAAGTGTCACAGTTCCAATGGGCATTATGAGAGATATTAGTATGCCTGTCGGGCTGACCTTTGCAGCACGAGCTTATTCCGATAACGAGATTCTAAAGTGGGCCTTTGACTATGAAACTGCCTCAAAAATGCGATTTGCACCAAAATGTGTTCCAGAGTTGTCACCTTTCTTGTTCGAAGGAAGGGCTGGGAACCAAAGCCATGGGGGAACCAGTCTTAATGAACCAACATCGGTTCCACCAGTTATAACAATTAATCTCTCAGGAGATGCTATCCTACACTCTTCTGGTTCTGTTACGATCGCAGTTGAAGCCTGTGTCTCCATAACATCGAGAAACATCTTAAAAACCATATCAAGTCCGATCCGGGTCCTTGATGATGAGGAGACGCGCCTTTCTATGAGTTTGACGATTGATGGCCGATATCCGTTTGTATTTGACAAAGTTCTGAGCTCGTCATCGGAGACTTTCAGAACATCATTAACCATTTCTGCTTCAGAACGTAGGGGTGCTCGTCTTCAGTCATCCTTATAGTTGCAGTTGTCACTGTGGCTTACGGGCACTCAAATGAGATAAAGCAAAAGATTGTCGAGGGCAGCTTTACAGAACTCCATTATCGATACCTCTAGTTTTACATTCATCTGCAATCCAGACTTGGGCTGTAAATTCCCGGTTCCATTGAATTAGGTGCTAGTGCAGCGAAGTGCTCTTACTTCCTAAGATACGTATAGTACAAGAGCCGACATGACCAACGGATTGATAAAACTCGAACTGATAACAGACCATGGACTCTCGGCTTACCGCCATTCGGGAAACTAGTTTCGACCTACTTCGCTTGTAACAAGCTTATATACGAAGATAACAAACCGTAGAGAATAATTTAACAAATAAAAGTATTTATCGATCACGCCCACACTTGATGGGTATGAATTCAAGTAAATCTCATTGCTTTACATGATGACTAATCTGGTATTTGAACGACAATATAAAGTAACGAGGGACTTAGCAGAGGTCACATTCTATGCCTAATGTTGTACCCTGATCAACAAACCCGTCGTCTTTTCGGTTTCATAGTGACGCATATCTCCGATCAACTTAAATACATTGGTTTAAGCTGGAGGGCCCACAATCACGAGCGGAAATGGAGACTAGGCCTGCAAAGAGCTGAAATCCGACGCTAATGTCTGGCGGGAGTATTTCCTATCTTGGAATTACACTACCCTTAGCATAGACAAACAGAGAATCCGGCGACTCATGAACGAAAAAGCCAGAGCATGTATCTATAAAAGATATCCTCACCATATCACCTTCATCAATATCTGCTCGAACAATAGCACAACTGTTCTCTTGCACAACTGAGATCAGTCTTGATGATCTATTCTACATCCTTGCCTTTAGACGTTTGTTTCAACACATCCATTCGAATCGCCAAATTGAGCCATCGTCTCAATGGCGTTGCATCCTTTTGCCGATCTCACAGAAAGTGAGATCGAATATGCACGTGAGATCATACAAGCACAACATCCGAGGACACTGCTATCTTTCAAGGCCATTACTTTGGAGGAGCCGGATAAAATACTCATGCTTAAATATCTGGAGGGTGAACATGCAGGAGTAGCCCGGCCCCGCCCGGATAGGATCGCATACTGCGCGTATTATTTCCGAGGCACTGTAAGGTCGTCACATCAAGTTGTAGAACTCGCTATATTTCTAACTTTATCTCTAAGACTAAGTTCTTGAGTGCTCTGGTGAATCTCTCCAAAGGTCAAATTCGAGAAACTGAACACAATAACGACGGCATTCACGGTAATGTTGATTTTTCCGAGGTACTTGAGGTCGAAAAGGCAGTAATGGAGTGCTCAGAGGTTCAAGCAGAGATTGCCAAGTTGATGCTTCCGGATCATTTGGAAGTTATTCCAGAGCCATGGGGGTTTGGCTCAGACGGCGTCGATGACCTTGCGCGTTGTTTTCAAGTGTACATGTTCATTCGCGAGAAGGGAAAACACGACAGTAATCATTACTCACGACCTCTATCCTTCTCGCCTATCTTTGATCCCATCGAGATGAAGCTTATCAGGATCCAACACATCTCAACCGGAGCTGATCACAATGTCAATGAACGAGATGCATACAGAGAAACCCCACCAAATGAATATGTTCCGACCGAGGTTCAATTGAGAACTGATCTTGAACCTCTACACGTCGTTCAGCCAAACGGTCCGAGTTTTAGGATCACTCGTGAGCGAGTTCTGAAATGGCAAAAATGGCATATGCGACTTGGGTTTAATTACCGCGAGGGAGTCGTGTTGAGGGATGTTCGATATGACGACCGACCAATCTGTTACAGAATCAGTTTAAGTGAGATGTGTGTTCCATATGCAGACCCTCGATCTCCATATCATCGTAAGATGGCTTTTGATCTAGGTGATGTTGGGGCTGGAATGGTCTGTAACAACCTAAAGCTGGGTTGTGACTGCTTAGGCGCTATTGCATATCTTGACGGACTTGTCTGCGATCGAGATGGAAATCCTGATGTCAAACCAAATGTCCTGTGTATACACGAGCAGGATAATGGCATAGGCTGGAAGCATACAAACTATCGAACGGACAGTGAGTCTCTTACTATCAATTTCCAACTAAAAGTTTCGCCGTGATCTAACTAAGTAGATGCATTTGTTGTCAGAAATAGGGAACTCGTTCTTCAGTCTATCCTCACCGTCTCCAATTATGAGTATGTAATTTTGCTACTGAGATGAGACATCCACAGATTTGTTGACACCGAATGAAGATACATTCTCATGTTCATATTCAACCAAGCTAGTGATATCGAATATCAAGTCCGGGCCACTAGTATTCTTTCAACATCAGCAATTGATGAGGGAGTAACTGCGGACTTTGGAACAGTAGTTCACCCTGGAGTTCTTGCAGCCCATCATCAACATATCTTATCGCTGCGGATTGATCCTCTCATTGGAAGCTATTCTCATGGAAACACAGCGGTACAAGAAGCTAATCCCATGCCCCTAGATGAGTATAATCCGCATGGAAATGGCTATCGTGTGGTGAAATCCGAAATCACGACAGAGGGAGGACATGATCTGGATTGGGCCAAGTCCCGCGTCTTTTCAGTAAAGAATCCTCATATTCTCAACCCGATTAATGGCCTGCCAATCTCCTACAAACTTATGTTCCCACCTGTTCCACCATTACTATCTCACCCTTCGAGTTTCAACGCCAGAAGAGCAGAGTTCGCCGACCATCATTTATATGTTACCAAATACCGCCCGGACGAGTTATTTCCAGGCGGCAAGTACACTAATCAAAGTAAGCTCGTCTTTAACCTAAAACTTAGACCGCTATGACGAGTTACTAATACCGGGGACTCTTGTAGGCCGTGGAGGCTCTGGCATCAAGAGTTGGATTGCCAAAAATCACGCAAATATCGTTGATGAGGACATTGTTATCTGGGTGCAATTTGGCTTGAATCACGTCCCACGGATTGAAGATTTTCCTGTCATGTAAGAGGTTAGCGAATCTATCTAAAATCAGCTAATGTCTTCTAGGCCTGTCGAATCAGTCAGTGTTCACCTAAAGCCCGTCAATTTCTTCTCACGAAATCCGGCGATCGATGTTTCCCCATCGACACAAGCAACAAACCAGTCTATTCTGATACAGACTGGCAATGATTGCTGCAAGTTATAGAGTCCCTTCTTATCAAAAACGGATGCCTTGATTATATATTGAAGGCGATATCTTTGACTCTACAAACGTACGGATTTCGAAATTTCACAAATATGTCCTGATTCCGACGAAGGAGTCTTGTCGTTATACAAATGGTGAAATGTCATTGTACGAGTGCAGGCGACACACCAGTGCGAGCCTTGAAGGAAGGCATTTCTTCTTTTGGGGTTACCTATACGGGCCCGTATGTCCGTTTCTATGGCTAACCTCGGGAACGATGATAGAGCATTAGGCAAGTCATAAATCATTAACTATACCAAAAGTTTGGAGTCCAGTCCACGTAACTTGCATCGATCGCCTTGATGTCGGGAACACCCAAGTTGGCCGCATCATTCATTAGCTCGGTGTGCATGATTTGAACTGCTTTCTTGACCCCATCGAGCCCAAAGACATTCGAGTACATGAATGGACGTCCCAAACCCACAGCTTTGACTCCGAGAGCCAGCAGACGCAGCGCATCTGTTCCATGCCGAATACCACCGTCAGCGAGAATCTCGATTTGCGAGAAGATGGTGGGGTCCTCGTTGTAGATTTCTAGTGCAATCTCGAGTGAAGACGGGGAGCCATCAAGATTACGACCACCATGGTTAGACAGGATAATGGCTGGAACCCCATGGTCGATAGCAGCACGGGCATCGGCAACTGTTTGAATGCCTTTGAGAATGATGGGTAACGATGTCATGTTACGGTACTTGTCTAACACCTCCCATGTGTTGGTAATGAACTGCGTATTTCTAGAAACATCCAAATTAACTTTGTCCAATGGGTTGCATGTGAGAATGGGCAACTTACGCGGATCCGACCCCGAACCGCGCTGCTCTTTGTCGGCTAGGACTACCGGGTGAATCCACCGACCAAACGATGGCTTTACTTCCAACGGCCTCTACTCTGTCAAATAAAACCTGATTGGCCGTATCATTGTTATTCACGTAAAGTTGAGTGAACAAGATCTGGCCATCAGTGGCAGCGTCGGCGATTGTCTCGATGGGCAATGAGGAGTATCCGGACGTCTGCGAGTATGATTAGTGGCATATTTCTCTCGCGCAAAATGTCGACTTATTTTGGTGCTCATACAATATAAAGAATATCCCCAGAGGCCGCTCCCTGCACGAAATTAAGTTCAGCATCGGGGTGGCCATATGCACCACGCGCACACGGACTGATGAAGAAGGGGCTGGAAAAGTTGTAGCCTAGGATAGTGGTCCTATTACAACAACGCACAATCAGTGAGATCTATCTATGGACCCCAACACATGATGTCTCACCTCAGGCTCGCTTCTATGTTGCTGATGTCTAACATGGTCCTAGGACGAAGACGATATCGGTTGTACACCTCCAGATTATTTCGGTAAGACCATTCCCCACCAGCGCCGTTACGATAATACGTGTAGTTGAACAGAGGGAGGTAATTCCTTGCGGCCCATTCGAAGTCATTCAGCGCTACAATGTCCGTCAGATTTGGCAGCTGGCCTTTGGGAAGATCACCCAGTACATCGGTGATGCCAGTGTCGGGCTCGTTCAAAAACGGACGAGCAGCGAGCGCGACAGATGTGAGCAAGATGCCACTGTAGAAATATTTGAACATATACATTTCAACAAAATTACTGATATTATATAAGAGGCGCAATGCTTGAACACCCTGAAGCAATGATACATCCCACCAGGGACTATTTTGAAGCAGCCACACTCTTATATGTATCCATATGATGCGTGAATTATACGATATTCCCCATATCGCTTCTATCACAACAACCGCTTCCCAGGTTGTGCTTCTTGGCTGTCTTGTGTAAATGAAAGTCTAATGCTTACAAAGCCTTACGGCAGTGTCCTGTAAACTCCACTGTGGTCCGGACATGACTCGATGGGTCGCCGTAGCCGAGTGGAACGGTTGAGTGGCAAGGACATGCCTTTTGAGGTAAATAAAGTGATGACAAAATGTACCTTCCTAAAAGCCTTGGCGATAAGGCTTGGCGATTTTGATGTTGAGTCTATCATCGATTACAGGACCCTTGGCCTGGGGCATACATGCACCACCCCGCTCCCTGGCCTGGTGTTGCGACAACGTAATTATCATGGCTCAGCTGCCTTGTGTGGCCTTGGCCTGGCTTGTCATGGCCACCCACCTGTCTGTTCATAACAATTTTATGACTATTGCATTTTTTGTTGCCATAAAATAGATTCAATTAATACTCCATAGGTTATATATCTGTACATAACTGCACTATGTAGGCTCCAAATAAATTGCCATACAGCTGTACAGTGACTTCGAGGGCTTAGATCTTTAGCACTACGATGTTTACAGAAGACTTAGTAGATTAACCAGATTAGTGTCCGGACTCAGCATGGTCTGCATGGGGCTCATCTCTTGGCCTACGAACAAGCGGGTCTGCTATCGGGCCGCCGAATGAGAGAACAAGAAATAAGAAGCATGCCGTCGGCGTTTTCGTTTGTACGAGGTGTTGTGGTCGAAGAACTCTCATCCACCAGCCAGGGTCGTCATTCGGGTGCAGTAACATTTTGACATCGCCACAAATTCTTAGTCTGGCTAGTTCCATCGATTTGCGTTGCAGGCCTCCAGCAACCACATGCCGAGGCACATTTAAGATAGTCTTCTAGCTATTTGCATTTCCCACTGTCACTACATGACTTAGTTCCAATAAATCTGCTGTCGCAGACCATTTCACTGACTTAGCCCAGTCGAAGCCATTGCATCGATTTAAAAGCGGTAGTGATGAAATTCCGGTACACGTACCGGCACACGGCAAGGCTGGAAGGGAAGATGTCTTGGTAAGCCTACTAATTATTTAGATCCCGAGGCCCGAAGTTAGGCTAACTCACTTGCTGCTATGTGTTGCTAGGGTGTAATGAATACTATCACCTACATTGCCGAATATCTTCTACTCAGGAACTTATATGTTCGCAATCAAAGAGACCAAAGAACACGCATGCACAGCACGATCTTCGTGTACATGGTACGCCCATCCATAATTATACGTTCTGATTACAGTCGTGACAATTATGAATCAAAGGACCAGACATATTCTTGTCAAGCTGCTTATAGAGCCACATATGAGCTATGGGGTTTCGAGGATATAGACGTATCACAATTTACACCTCATGATCTAAGACTAGACTAAGTGCCTCGAACCATCACTAATCAGTACGTACACCTGGATATTGTCGGTCCTGCGGACCGAACGTGAATTCTAGTGTTTGTGTCGGTCATATTTCGCACGCTGTTGATTAGCAGAGATTATCTCGTATAATTTGGACCCTTCTGAGGTGAGTCTAGACCCTCTATAAGGGGTGACCGCGGAATGCGTTGTGCTTTGTGGCATTCATAGACTATACATTGGATATCTTGAAAGTCTGGCAGAGCATCACTATGATAGCGGTCGAGCCAGTGCATTTTGCGGAGATCTAATTTAGCTGCTCTCGGTGCATGTTTTGAGAAGCCGAATGCTTTACTTATACTCTGTATCTAAAATGCCTATTCTGCTTGTCGGTCAAGTCATTGAAACTCTCCAATGCCTCCTCGGTTGAGTTGACCTCGTCAAGAAGACCCTTTTTCTGCTTTTGACGATTCTCAACATAGCAGTAGACCGTGTATATGATCTGAATGCCCATGGCTCCTGCGTATGCACCAGCTAAGCCCTTGATAGCCGTGGGATATCGCGGAACCTCAGAGGGCAGGAAGAGATGCGGTCCAGCAATGTTTCCGGCACAATACAGTCTATCTTATGTTAGCATTCACGGACCTCCATCAAACAATCTCGCAAGTCAAGAAGACATACACAAAATAGATACCGAGGACCACGCTTCGTTTGGTGTGACCAGCTGTGTTGAGACCAGGGAGTGTCCAGTTGAGAATGATGGGGGCGCCAACAACTCCCTGTAACCAACACATGGCAACGAGTGCAAAACGATGTTTTTCGATGCTAATCGTCATGATGCCAATCAAGCCAGCTAGCCCAGGGACGCATGACACTGTTCGGCGGATTAGTTGAGCGACTAACATGTCATACGAACGTGACCGATACTCACAGACGATGGTTGCGCCGAGCATGTTCGGTAGTCTGGACAAATACCCAAAGGCAATGACCATAACTAGCTCAAAAGCACCTACAGGGGTTTGTAAAAGGCTTGTGCGAAGTGGACTATAGCCAAAACCCTTGATAATGGCAGCAAGAAAGTTTGCCACCCCGCCATTCAGGATACCGTAACAGATGGCCGTCAAGTACAACAGCCACTGTCTGGGGTCAAGAAATGCCTCTTTGATCTGAGCTGGAACAATTTGGGCATGCTTCAAGCCGGTCTGGTTATGAGAAATTCTCCATACCGCTACCATTCGCTCGTACTCGGTTAGCATCTTAGCATTATGTGGACCATCAGGCAAGTAGAGGTAGACGACAAAGCCCCAAGCAATGGTCATAGATCCGACTATCTGGAGGTAGAGGAAGAACATTAGTAGTTAATTCCATGACAAAGAACTGTGTAGATTTCTCACCAGATAGATCAATTTCCACTGCGGAATTGCCAGATTCTCCGCGTGACCGGCACCGTAAGCCAGCAGAGCGCCGACAATAGACGAAATACCGTTGACAGATAGCCAGTATGAGCTCCGAAGGCTTTGCTCCTCGCGGGTCCAGAGCATGGATGTAAGTATGATGAATGCGGGGGACACAACGGCCTCCAACATGCCAAGAAAGAAGCGTATAGCAAAAAATCCCGAGAAACTGAAGACTGCAGCCTACAAAGAAGAGTCAGCAATTCAAGCAGTTGAAATTTATGTTCAGATACAACTCACCTGAAGCATGCAAACAGCTCCCCAGACGAACAGCATAACACCAATCAGTCTTCCTATAGGGAACCTCTGTAAGAGAATCTGCCATGGGTAGGCTCCTACGAGCCAACCAAAGTACAAAGCTGATGACACCCATGAGTAGTTATCCCCAACCATGTGTGTATCTGCTTGTAGCCCATATGCATTGGAATAGTTCAAGCTGTTCGAGACATCACATTAACCACTACTGTCTCGTGCAACGTGCCGCCTGAAACACATGGGCTGTATCGCAAAAGATAAGGGGAATGACTCACGTTTGTTTGTCGAGAAAACTCAACATATAGGTCATCATCATCTACCACTTTGTAAGATACAACAGAAAGATCTGTCAAAATCGAAGAGAAGAGCAAGACCTTACCAATGGCAGGACATAGAAGTCCAACTTTCTCCGGACTTTCACAGAGTCCCTCTCGAGCTGAGCTTGGTCGTATTGAAGAGATTGTTGAAAGTACTCTTTACCAAGTTCATTGAGGTCGATCTTTTGCCCTCCAAGCCGTTCCAACCAACCGACAGGCCTGGTGCTGCCGACTCCATGATCAGAAGAAGATGTGACGGCCTCGTCAGCCTCTTTGCTTGCAGACATCTGGCCGGGTACTGGTGAGGATGTTGACAGCAGAGAATGAATCTTTTAGTTTAAGCTGCCATGTATTGTGAATACACAAGTCGGGGACAGTCTTAAAAGAAGGTGCCTTGGCTTTATATCCCTAACCGCCTGCTTGACAATCAATGATTGCTGTATTCTAGGTTAGCGTATCGAGGTGCATTCAATATGCCCCATTTCTGTGATAAGATAGATTTCACCTTAAGAGCTACACTCCAGTCCTGGCTCTCCTCAAGACATGGATCGTGACTTATCGGGTGCGGTACATGCTCTGCCCCCGCGCCATAAAAGTGATCGCATTGGGTGGTTAGCACGCAAAGGATCCATCTTCGCTATCTACTAAACCAATCAAACCAAATACCGCCGTTCCACTGATAAGCATCCCTAATGCCGTGTTCAATGACGTTCACATTAGTGTCTGATAGGTACCATGAGCCGACTCCCGGCCGTCGGGCTCATGTCGATTTCTTGAACTTACGGAAGCATATGAACTTCCGCCTTCAATGTCTTTGCATTTGCGATAGCCTCTCCTTGTTTCGGGTTATGTAAATGAAATTGTCAAGCGGGGCCCGAGAACGCTCCGCTCGGCGCCACGTCTATTCCTTAAACCAGTTGGAGATCCTGAGGTCTTCGACACCTTTTATTGGATCATGTCGATCTATAAACAAGAATATCTCAATAATATAATATCAGGCAGACAGATTTAGGCAACGCTTACATTGGCAATTGCAGTCTAGAAAAATTCACCATGAGTACTACTGCTCTTAACGAAGTTGCGGTAGTTCAGACTAGTTTTCCATCACCGTTGAAATCATGGGAAGCTGTCCGAGATGAAAAGAGAGCGGAACAGCTATCGAGAATCCCTGCACTCTGGAGATTACAACCCTCACAGTTTCCTGTGAAAGGTGCTGTGGATTTGAGACCTCTTGCTGCCGCCTCAGGCATTTTAACGGAGAGAGAACTCGAGATTACGGGCGAGAAATACGATGCGACATCTCTTGCAGCTGAAATTTCTAAGGGCATATTCACTGCTACTGAGACCGTGACTGCATTTTGCAAGCGGGCTGCCATCTGTCAACAACTTTGCAATGCTCTTACCGAAATCTTCTTCTCCGATGCAATAGAAAAAGCCAAGAAGCTTGACGATTACTTCAAAGAGACTGGAAAGACTGTGGGACCTTTGCATGGGCTGCCCATGACCTTCAAGGTACATTCCAAGACCCTTTGATTCATATGAAAACAAATTGACCATAGAAATAGGATTGTTTTCATGTCAAAGGTTACGATGCATGCAATGGCTATATCTCGAGATGTTTCGACCCTTCCACTACAACGACACCCATCATTCAATTAGTGGAAGATGCTGGAGCTGTCATCATTGCCAAAACAAACGTCCCACAGACCATGTTGGTTGCCGAATGCGACAATAATGTATTCGGACAGACCAGGAACCCGATTGTAAATCACTTGTCATGTGGCGGCAGCAGTGGCGGCGAAGGATCTATCTCTGCTTTCAGAGGAAATGCACTAGGGGTCGGCACTGATGTAGGCGGTTCTATTCGGTAAGGCTTGGCAATGCAGACTTTGTTACTTGTGTTGACAAAACACTCGATACAGGCTCCCGGCCGCTTTTAACAATGTATACGGCTATAAGCCCTCCGCAGGAATTCTGCCTTTCATTGGGTATGCTGCGTCTGGCTGGACAGGCGTCAACACCGGCATTCCTGCGGTGTTGGGGCCTATTGGCCACTCTGTACGAGATTTGAGACTCTTCACTGAAGCGGTCCGGGCACGCAAGCCATGGCTATTCGACCCAGCTGTGATACATGGCGTGATGGAGTTGTCTACGCCACCAAATGGCCAGAAACCAGTTGTTGGTATCCTCCGCGAGTCCGGCGTCACCCCTCATCCCCCAGTTCGCCGAGCTATTCGCCTCGCCCAAGTCAAACTTGAGGCTGCCGGCTACGAAGTCAGAGACTTCACACCAGGTTGTCCTGACTTCAAGGAGATCAAAGAGATCGCTAGCCAGATTTTCACCGTGGATGGGGTATCCTATCAGCGACGGGAGCTTGCCAGAGCAAATGAGCCTGTCGTGCCCTCGGTTGTCAAGTTCGGGTACTGGGACATGCCCAGAAAGACTCACGAAGAAATGTGGGAATTGAACACTAAAAAGGGTGAAATACAAAAGAAGATGCTGGATGCGTGGGAAAAGATAGGCATCGACGTGCTCATTGCACCAGCAGCTCCGCACACGCCAATTACCCCTGACAATTGCACTGCAGAGCTTTACACAGTTGCCTGGAATGCTATGGATGTGAGCCGCGAGCCCTCGATTATCTATAGATTTTGTGCCTGCTAATGGCTATTCCAGTACCCTGCTATTATCATTCCATTCTTGAAAGCGGACTCTCTACTCGACCCCAAAGATGAAGCGTTCAAGCCGAAGAATGATATGGATCAAAGCATTCAGGCACTGTGTAAGTTACCCTGTCGAGAATATGCGTGTATTAGACCGTATTAAACCCTAACACATTCTTTAGATGATCCAGAGCTCATGGCTGGTGGCCCGGCCTCCCTCCAGATTGTTGCTCCAAGACTTCAAGATGCTGCTCTACTAAAACATGCGGAAGCAATTGACAAGGTGTTGAATGAGGAGGCTGGCGAAGTTGCATAATAAAGTGAATTATTAGCATGAGGGGCTGGCACACATACCCTTGCTGCTGTAGTATGCAAAGACCGCAATTCTGCGTTCCTGTTCTCATAACTAGATAGAGGAGTTGGATGCAGCATTAAGTAATAGATAGCATGTATTCAGTCCAGTAGTGTGGGAGATAGCCTACGCAGTGGGTTACATGTTGGATAATCTACGTCACTCAATACTGTGAGAGCATCGGCCCCCGGCGGAAGTTTTTGAGTGGTCCACACCTTCAACCTAATTTAGCATGTGTGGAACCGAGGCCCCCTAGATAAACCCCACCATAGACGGTGACAATAATTATATCTTATCTCGGGTGAGTTAAATCGGGTGGGTTGAAAGCGTTTGATCAAGTAACAAATCCTTTGTAGCTTGGGAAAAAACCTTGACCGATAGCGATTGCCGGAAAGCAAAAGACGCCACACAGGCGAGAGGACTTCCACTTCTAGTGCACAAAACTCTAAATTGAAAACGCAGCTGTCTTTAGGTGTCTTCTTTGGAGACACGCTGCTACTTCACTTTTTGGCATGGCGATGCCCTCAAAAATTACGCCAACTTATCATATCTGTCTCATCGGCTCTGGAGGGGTTGGCACGATTGCATCGCTTGTTCTTACTAAATCTGGCAGCGCTCATGTAACCTCTGTTCTCCGATCAAAGTACGACCATGTCTCTCAGTATGGCTGGTCTATTGACTCTATCGATCACGGCAAACTTCGAGGATGGAAACCTCATCGCGTAGTGCGCTCAGCTGCTGAGGCCGCAACGCATGATAATGGTACCGCTGTTGAATATGACTATGTCGTCGTTTGCACAAAGCAGCTGCCGAAATTGAACTCCGTCACAGAGATGATTTCTCCAGTGGTAACTCCGCGCAAAACGACAATTGTCATGATACAAAATGGAATGGCTATCGAGGAAGAAATTATCAAAGCATGGCCTGGCAACGTAGTCATGAGCAGTGTAAGTCACATTGGAAGCTCGATCCAAGACCCCAACATTGTAGTTCAGATTGGCAAGGACGTTTCGAAGATGGGACCGCATTTGCACGAAGGGATTGATAATGCCGTGAGCACTGATAGCGCTAAGATCTTTGTGGAATTGTACGCTGCGGGAGGGGCAAGTGTCTGTGAACTGGTAGATGACATTCAGGTTGCAAGGTGGGAGAAGCTTCTGTGGAACGGAACGTTTAACACCCTCTGTGCATTGATGAGAATGGATGTCGGCGAGATTCAGCGAAGTAAAGGGAGAGAGTCGATGCTCATACCTATGATGTGGGAGATCTGGAATATTGCAAAAGCATCTGGGCACGCTATGTCGGAATCAATCGTGAACTGGATGGCATATCGACTACCAGATGACTGTGACTATCGCCCAAGTATGCTTTTGGATCTGGAGAACGGGCGCCCTATGGAGCTGGAAGTTATTCTTGCTAGCCCATTGAAGAAAGCAGAGGAGTTAGGTGTGGATGCTCCTCATATGACATCTGTCTATAATTTGCTGAAGCTGGAGGAGTGGAAGATAGACCAGAATAATTCGGCAAGGAAGACATAGCTTATCTTAAGAGCATTAATCTTGGTTCACCATTTGTCTGGGAAACCGTTTGACTATTGATGATGGTCAAGCACAGCTTGGATTTATTTCTAGGTAGTGACTGACGAAATATGCAATAACTAATTTTCCACCCCCAAACCGACTTAGAATCATGCTGAAACGACAGTACAGTTTGAACATGCTGACACCACCCAACCCATGGTTTCCGCTGATTAGCAGCCATTATCGAAAGCCACAAAGGTTTGACCGTTGACTGGCGCCGGTAGCTCTGCAGCTGCAACATTGAATAGAAGACACTCTTCTTGACCATTTGCAGAAGGCTTTCCAAATTCACACCTTGACGAAGTTAGTGAGGACGGCCATTGTGATTATGAACAGATACTTACGACTTGCACCCATTTGTTTGTTCGCACAGTGTCAGACACGCCTGCTGCGAATCTATGTTGTTCGCCGTCTTAATTGGCGTTGGGGATTGAGTCGATGGCCCCGTAGGCTTGGAGCCACAGATACTAGCGCGTTTTCCTTTTCCCTTTCCATTTCCGTTCGTGTTGGTGTTGCCATTAGTGTTGCCGTTGTTATTGCCCGATGTAGACGGGTTTGTACCAATTGGGTCATCATGAGTCGGCGCCTGAGTCGGAACACTGGAGCTTGCGCAAGCTTTATCAAATACGTTGAGGTCGGACCCCTGACTCGGAACTTGAGAGGCGGCTACGTTGAACAAGAGACATTCTGGAGCTGTCGCGCTCTGCGGGAGGCCAAATACAAAGCTTTGACAAGCAGAATTGGAGTTGCACTGTTGCTGGCAGGCTTCGGCTGTAGTCGCCGTTGGGCTGGCAATTGGCTTCACTTGGCTTGTAGAGGTAGAAGCGGTTGGGGACTTGTTGCACATCTGAGCTCGAATTGCTACAGGGTTTGCGAGTGCAGCAGAAATCAGGTTGATGAGCAAAATTGTTGCTGTGGTTGTCTTCATTGTGGCGGTTAGAGAAAATGAGTATAGTAGAGAAGGTTGAGATGGAGCAAATAATCTGATTTGAATGCTAGAGTGTGTATTTATGAAGAGCTTGAGTGGAAGATGAAGTATTCGTGAATGCAGTTCTGCCATGTCTTTATACTCATCTCCAACATTCACAGTCGTCAGTATTCACGTCTAGGTGACGACGCTTTGCATGATGTGCCCCTTCTCCGCGTAATGTTTAGTTTGGAGCCACCGCATAGCAACAAGTGCCTCAGATGCTGAGCCTCCATGAGGCATACACGGTTCGTAGAATCGGACACGAATGTCGTGTTTCTTTGAGCACCGACTTCAATATGCCGATGTATTATAGCCCAAGTTGAATACTTCCGAGTGCAAGGACGGAAACTTGGCGTGGTGACTACCCTGACATGCAAGTATGAGTTCCAGATCTTTGAATCGAGTCCACATCTCAAGCTAGTATAACGAGAACTCAGCTTTTAATGACGCGGCATTTAGTTGGTTGCTGCCTCAGTGGCTTCCAAATATTTAAGACAACTGTTAAGACTTATGCACAGGGGTACTCGGATCGTTTGAACCTCCACCAGCATGACAGACTGCGTATGTTGATCTGTAAAGTTCGGACCCACAACTCCGATTGAAGACAACATCTCCGAGCCCAGCAACCTGGATGACAGGGAGCTAAGCCTTAGCAGTGCACTCTTCTATCAGGTAATATCGTGTGGCTGAAGTACGTAAGGTTCGGGATGCGGGGTGCAGGGGGTTTCGAAGATCTGAAACTCGGTAGTTGACACAAGCATCCCAAAAATAACTACAAGTAATGCCGTACAGCGACAAGGATGACGACGCTGCTGGAAGACCTCTAGAGTATGGGAAAAGGAGATGTTTTATCTTTCACTTCTTCAAGAGGTATGGCAATAGCATTACCTAAATTCGATGCGTAAATTTCAGACGCTTTATTGGGTGGGTAATTTACATGCTCATAGCCATTGCTTGTTTCCCTTGTGAGAAATGAACGCCCCTGCATATCCACCTTCGATACTAACTCTCTCCACAATATCCAAGACCGACTTGACAGCACTTTCTGTTGGCACTGGGCCAGTGAAATTAGGTGCATACGCTTTTATCTTCCCAAACATCGCCATAGCCTTCTCTTTTTGTTCATCTGACTCTACAAGCAAGTGTCAGTCACAGTTCTAACTTTTGGCATCATAGTGTTTCCATACCAACCCAGTCCATGTTGCCAGTTGCTACACTTCCAGGGCATATGCTTAAACATAAAACATCTTGCTTGCGGTATAACGCGCTGAACTTGGCCACGGCCATGTTTAAAGCCGCTTTGCTGATGGAATACGATGCACCTTGATAAATGTCAAAGGTTCTTGTCATTTCAATGTCTGCCATAGCGGCAGAAATAGCGATAACTTTCTTAGATCGACCTTGTAGGATCAATGGCATAAATGCAGTGAAAAGGTGAATAGGGCCAACGGCATTAATTCGAAAGTGATCGATCAAATCCTTCTCGAGAGCTTCCGGCCGACCGCTCCTATAAAGGCTTAGAGGCAAACTATTAGTGTTTGAGACACGGAATTTTCACTTACAAAACATCCAAGCCGTCTAAAGCGCCCCAGGAGCCTTGAAGTGCGGCATTAGCAATGACATAGTCAAGATTCCCGTTTGTCAGGTCAGAAACACGTTGAGCAGCTTTCTAAAGATTTTCAAATTAGCTCTGTATTAGCACTCATTCAGCGAGTTCAGCCTACCTTCAATCCTTCATAATCAGTTGTGTCCGCTTGAATAATGTGGATGTTTTCTCGCGGAAGTTCGGCAGCGACCTTTGACTCGACGGCCACTTTGTCGCGCACAAGTCCAAAGACAGTATTTGCCGGATTGTCCGACAGCTGTCGAAGAAATTCAAACTAGAGATTCAAGCTGTCAGCATTCGATCCTGTTTCTGTAGTAGGGTGAACATACGCCAAGGCCACGAGACACTCCGGTAATCACGTAAGAAGACATTGGCGCTTGAAGTCAATGCTTGACACAAGATAATATTTGATTTTTAGAACGGTTTGGTCCACTTAATTGAAATGGCAGAACCGGATCATTTCCAGGGTAGTTACTTTGTTTGTCGCTATGTCACGAGGGTGGCAGGTGTATTTATAACATCTAGGAACTAGCTTCAGAGTAGCAGATTCCTTCCATTCTGATTTCAAAGCAAGATATCCAGCTCTTGCTATTCAATCTCTGCCATTTCTTATTCGTTAGATGTTGACTGACATACCGTAGTTCCACGATCTCGAAGGCCCTTTGCAAACCGGAATGTGAATAGCTATTGATGATGGCATCATTCGGAGCTAAGCCTAGAACGCCTTAGTAGGATATGGGTTCGGCTAGTAACCTACAAAAAAGTTGACAGTTTTCCAGAATGGGAAGACAGTCGAGAATATAAGGCA